TGTGATTCTGGGTCTTCCAGTGATTGTGTTTCTCTAAACAGGGAGCTGCAGGATTCATTCTGCCCGTCTAGCACATCACTGCCTCTGTGGGGCCCAGCGGCACATGTAGCTGGGCAGGCCCAGAGCCAGGGGTGGTCTGGGACCAGGGGTGTGCCCAGTACAGACACCCTGTCCCTCGCTCCGGAGCCTGAGGTTTGGCCCCACCTCTCCACAGGTACAATGCCAGAGAGTACTATGACCGCCTGCCCGAGCTGAAGCAGGCCGTGGACCAGATCAGCAGCGGCTTCTTCTCTCCCAAGGAACCAGACTGTTTCAGGGACGTGGTCAACATGCTGCTGAACCACGACAGGTTCGTTCTCACATCCCTCCCCACCGCTGGCCAGACAGAGGGGTCCTCCTGGTGGGCCAAAGCCTGCACTTTGGGGGTGACCCATGGTAAGGCTTGCTCCCCACCCCAGCCCATGGGCAGAGCCCCAGGCTATCAACCAGGACCTGCAGGGGCCTCTGGAGGTGCTTGCCTGCTGGGGGCCCTGGTGGTAGGGGTCGCCAGTGCATGGTCCAGCCCCGGGGCCCCCCAGCACTGGCTGACCCTACCCCCCCACCAAAGGGCATGACAAGCAGAAGGTGGTTTCACATGGGGCTGGTCGGAGGCAATTCCTGATCCTCTCTTCCCTAGAGAGAATGTGGGCAAGATGCCCCAGTAATCTCTGGGGGGCGGGGTGAGGTGGGGGGCTTGGCCTCTACCGCCAAAGTCCCACAGGCCCAACTGAGCCAGATGTTGGCCAGTGATGACACCATGTGGTTAAAGAGGAATTAACTTGTGATGCAAATTATGTTATGTTTTATTACGACGCATCAACAAAGGGCTATACTGTCCACATTCCCGCACGCGCTCATCTGCAGCAGGTCAGCACCGCCGCTTGCCTCCCGTGGCCTTTCTTTGCTCTGGCCTGCTGGCAAGAGCTGAGCTCCATCCCACTCTCAGCTACCTTCAGGTGGGTTTCATCTGCTGCTGGCCTGTGAGTGCTGGGGGCTGGTGTCTGTCCGACCAGATCGCGGCCCCGCACAGCGCAGGGTGGGAGGTTGGCCCTGATTCAGACTGGAATCAAGGAAACACTGCTCAGTTTCCTGAATTGTCTCCGCAACTCAACCATAAACAGAAACATAGTCCCCTATACATAACTCCTGCCGTGCTGTCCACAGGATCCTTTCCCTGGATCACCGGTTCTCACCCCCTTGGCTCTGGGAAGGGATGGCCAGGCGGAGCCTTGCTGCCCATCTGTGCCACGTACCCTGGGGCAGTGGAGTTGGAGGAAGCCTGTGCTGCTCAGCCTCACCTGCGTGGGGAGGGTGCGTTAGAAACAGCTGAAAACAAGGTTTCTGTAGAATAATATCCCCAAGACAAAAGTTCTGCTCCTAGAGCCACCTCTGTGGCTCATCCCAAAGCATGAGGACCTGGATGACCAGGGCCTAGTGGCCCATTTCCTGACCTCTGACTTACCACCTGCCACAGTGGCCTAGCTCTGTCTCCTGTTTCAGGTTCAAAGTGTTTGCAGATTATGAAGCATATGTGGCGTGCCAGGCCCAGGTGGATCAGCTGTACCAGGTATGGTTCTAGGGCCCCCAAGCTGGGGCGGGAGGGTGGTCCTGGCAGGGGAGCAGCGGGGGACGTCTGTAAGGTCCAGTCCTGGGAGGCCACTGTTCACCTTGTGGCCTGGACAAGGGAGGCTGGGCGCTCAGCGGGCTGAGCTGCAGCATGGACATGGGCTGTCCAGGGGTTCTTGATCAGCTTCCACTCACACGGTCTCCGTTGTCCCTCTGCTGTCCCCTGGTGAGGCTGGTGGCTTGGGACCCCTTGGGGCCAGGCCACTGTCCACATTGGCACATTTCTGCCCAGGCTCTGAGCGGCTGCCACAGAACACACGTGAGCAGGACAGGAGTTTCTGTGGATGGCAGAGGCGATGGGCACTGTGGTCTGAGCCCCCATTGGGTGTGATTGAGAGGATGTGGGGAGCAGGTGCAGAGCCAGGAAGACATGTGTGCACACAGAAAACCTATGTTTAAAAATGAGAGTGCTTCCTTGAACAGGTGCAAGCTTCCATGTTGAGTGAGGGGCCATTGCTGTAAAGAGTGGCCTTTCTAGGGCCGGACTGCTATAGCCAGCTCCCCAGACCTTGGCGAAGGTGGACAAAGAGGGACCCCTCATCCCAGTTTCTGTGTGGAGCATGTCCCCTAGGGAGTGGGTGTATCCACGTGGGGACTCATAGGAAGACAGAGGACCAGAGCTTGCAGGGCTGAAGGAGGGTATCCCTTGGTGTCCACTTCCCTTCCCTTGCTGGGGTTTTCTGGACACCCAGCCTGTGTGCCCCACCAGTGGTGGCAGGGGGAGAGGACTCTGGGTGTTGTGGTGTGAGTCTGCAGTGGTGGGTCAGATGGATTCTTCCCTCGGTTCTTGGATGAGGCCTCCAGGATGTTTCTGATGTGTTGTGGTCCTGGCCCCTATCCCCCACCTTTAGGGAAGCTGTCTGCCCTTGGGGACCCATTAAAGAACAGGGGGGCCTCGAAAGCTGTTACCAGGCAGGGCTCGGGGGGGGCACCTTTGCTTCCCAGACGTGGGCCTCAGCAGAGTCTTCCCTTTTGGGGAGGCTCCCCATGATGCTGGCTCAGTCCAGGGATGGTTGTCAGGCTCTGGGGGAAGCCATGGAGGGGAGACCACTTAGCCTTTTTCTGTGGATGCACTTGGCGGGTACTCACCTAGTGGTGGTTCTTTGTCAGGTGGGCTGTGCCCCAGAATACGTGGCACATTTTGAGGCCCAGGGCCTTCTCAGGCTCCTTACCCCCATATCTAGTAATTTGATAGCTTTTCTGATTGGTGAGGATCCCCATTTCAGTGAGCTGTTGATTGCAATTTCATCTTTGTTCATCATGCTGATGAACAGGAGCTGAGAGCCCATCTAGAAGCAGTCCTGAAGTTCTGGAAGTACAGGCTGTCTTGTGTGGTACCTGAGATTACTCAGCCTCTTCTTCCCTCTGCAGAACCCCAGGGAGTGGACCAAGAAGGTCATCAGGAACATCGCCTGCTCGGGCAAGTTCTCCAGTGACCGGACCATCACAGAGTATGCCCGGGACATCTGGGGCGTGGAGCCCTCCGACCTACAGATCCCGCCCCCCAACCTCCCTAGGGATTAGGTGCCCTAGCAATGGCCTGCTGTTTCTGGAGGCCCATGGGAATTGTAGTGGTGGTGGCTTGGGGTGGGCAAGAAAGAAAGGGTGCTAAGAGAGAGGTACTCCCAGTTTCCTGCAAGAAAGCAGAGCTTGCGGCACTGACTGGGGCAGCTGGCCCCGCAGCTTTAGCTCACCTGACACAAGGAGGTGGGGAGGGTAGAGCCACCGGGTGGGCTCCTCTCAGACCTTGCACGCACCTTGCAGTGAGCTTATTTTTAGTTTTGAGCCTCTGGATTCCGGGGTCCGGGCAGGTAGCTGTGGCGAAGCCTGGGGAACTGTGTGTTTTCTGTACCACAAGTGCTGGCCCACTGGCGTAGGCTCCCAGCCTCCTGGCCATGCTAGTACTCTGGCCATGTCTGCAGCTGCAACGTGGGCGCTGTGGCCCAAAGTTCCAGACTGATCAGATAAAGGGGCTCTAGGATGGCTGAGGGGGTCATGGGGGAGGACATCTGTATCCGGCATCCTGGGGTCCTTGGCTAGGACAAGGCTGGCTGACGCAAAGCTACCTTGGTTTTGCTTTCTTGAGAGGATAATCAGCTTCCCAGGGAAATGAAAGTAGCTGAAGCCTTTTCTTGTTTTAGCAACTAAAAGTTATACTTTTGAAGTTTTGTGGAGAGGCAATGCTGGAATGTGTTGTCCAGACCTGGGGGCCCTGGGGTGGGGCGCTGCCTTTTCTGGGGAAGCCAAATGCCCCTGCTGCGTGTGTCCTGGGGCCTGCCTTTCCTGTCTTACACTTGGGGCCACCCTCCCTTCTCCCTCCATTTCCAGCAGTGTGACCGCCTTGGAAAGGATTGAGCAGGCCCAGAAGGGAGCCCACTTTCCTTCTGCCTGGACAGCAGGCTGGTGGCAGGAAGGGTGGGTGAGCCCCTCTCAGCTGCCCAGGGGAGAGAGCCAGGGAGCAGGCCGGCGCGCTTCACCACAGGCTTAATGGGACAAGGAGGGGAAGCACCCTTCCAGAGGCTCTGCATCCTTGCATGCTGGGTCTGGATGGCACAGGACTCTGCCCTCACCCCAGGTCCTGACTGCTCACAGAATCAGGCCATGGAGGATTTGCTCACATGTGCCCTTCACCAGAACTGCAGTGGTCTGCTGGGGAGGCCCACGTTCTGGGGCTGTGGTCACCCCCCCCCCCCGCCACCTTCCCGCTGCCCCATTTCTTAGGCCATGTGTGACCATCACTGTGCTACTTGATGTCACTGCCTTGTGTGAGAAACTGATTAAACCTTCCTGCCTGTGCCTCGTTGACCTGGCCTGTGTTTCATTCTGCGCTGAGGGCAGGGTGGGGGCTGCATCACAGGGGCAGGCCTCGGACCCTCCCTCGTAAGGGCCCATCACTCTGGGATTAAGGACAGACCAAGCTCTCCCATCCCAGCTGCAGGTGGAACTTAAGAGTATGCGTGTTTGAACCATAAGCTGGTAAAAGAATCATCCAATCTGTTGTATAAACGGTCATCTGGATGTTGGCATCATTGGTGCAAATTGCACTGGGTCTTTTGCACCTGCCCTCTACCAGCCACTCTTGGCCCTAGGACATGGAATGCCCTAGGGATGAGAGCATTTCCCCCCTAAACTGTGTCACTGTAGGCTGAATTAAAAGCCAGGAGGGACATGAACTTGGGGCTGTTAGCCAAACAACCTAAGAACTGCAGGACACTGGAGCACCGTGGGCCTGCTGGAGCGGCCTGGGGGAGCTGAGCAGCTCCCAGGACACACGTGCTTCCAGGAAACATGTATTAACTGCAGAATTTATAGCTGTGCATGTCTTGATCTGTTCCTTTTTTTTTTTTTTTTTATTCAAGGATTGGTTTTGTGATCAGCAGAGATTACATCTTTCCTAGCCCACAGTTTAGTTACTAATCTGAGACCAGCAGGTGAAGGCATTTGGACTTAATTAGACAATCCGATGGCCCAGCAGCTCACCATCCCTATCAGTGCTTTCTAGAGCACCTATCAAAATACCAACAGCCTATATTTTACTTCATATCCTCTCACATGGCTCACACACACACACAACACAGAACAGGAGGAAGCTTCCAGCCCAGGCAGGGTGGGTGGGTTGCATCTGGCTGAAGTGGGGTGGGAGGGCAGCTCTGACTTGGGGCCTCAGTCACGGGGCTGAAAGAGCAAGCCTCGGGGGGCTACTCGGGCCCAGGGGGCACATCATGCGAGCAGTTACATAGGAACGTGCTATAGGAAGGGGCTTATGTCTCACCCCGGGGATGGGGTGGGGTCTTGCAGGTAGTGCACACACCCAAATCTGATGCCAGGGGAACCCGTCCAAAGGAAGGAAGACATAAACTGAACTCAGGAGAGTCTGTTCATGCTTCAACCCCTTTAGGAAAGGCATGGTTTCCCCCATGTGAGAATCACTGTAGGCAGCTTGAAGGTACCTCAGAAAAGAAAAGCTGTCACCTGCCTTGGCACCTCGGCCCCACAGCCTGCCCACAGCTGCCAAGAGTGGCCACAGACCTTAAAGAACAGGCTGGTGAACTAGGCTCCCTGTAACCCCAGGGGAATTTCTGATCTGCCAAGACCACAAAGTCCCAGAGCCTTAGGACCCTGGTGGGGAGAGTCCAACCATCAGGGGAAGTGGGTCCCAGGTGGGCTTTCATCCTCTGTTGTGCATCACGCCTCTATATATCTGAGCCGCAGGGGTAGGACAGTCCTCTGTGGGGCCAGCCTGAAAGCCCCTTACTAAACCACACAGTTCTCACTCTCTGGTTACTTAGCCGGGATGTGAGAATCTGGCCCTTCACCAGCGCCGGGGCTGTTGAGAAGCAGGATCCTCAGAGGGTGCCAAGTGGGGGCAGCAGAAGTCCAGGGAGACTGATTTGACAAAAAGCTGAACAACACTCCCTTTCCCCAAGTAAGTGAACAAGGCGGTGCTCATGGACCAGAACTGGAAACCTCCTACTCCAGCGCCCCACGTCCTTCCACGGACTCATGCCAGGGCTCGCTTGGCGTCTGTGGGTGAAACCCTGGAGGCTGCCAACCAATACCAACATCCAGTAAGCTTGCTACAGCGTGAAGTTGAAAGGGGCCTGTATTTTAGGAAAACGCTCCCTGTCCCCTCTGGAGAAGGGGTCCTCCCCCATGAACATACCTTGCCCTGGGACAATGCCCCTCCTTGCACGGGCCTCCACATCTAGAAGGAGGAAAGGAAGGCCCAGGATCCCTGGCCTTACAGAGCTGCCCCTCCTCCCACAGGCTCGGCTCTGAGCATGACCTGAAAATAGCTGGAGGGGTCACTGAGAACACAGCAGATAGACCACCACCACGATTTTATTCTTAAATAAATGCTCAGTCTAAGGCCAGGTTAGGCGGAAAGGTGGGCAGAAAGTGGAGGAAGTACAGGTCACAGGCACTTCCCCCGCTGTGAGCAGTGGGACCTGCCCAGGGAGGCAGGGACCGCCAAGGTAGGCAAGCAGGGTGCCCTGGGTTGGGGGGGCTGCTGATGGGACCATTAGAATCCATTCTGTGTGGGCTGGGAAGGGACAGAACCCATCTCCCCACGATCTTACCAGTGATGCTGGAAAGCTCAGTGTGGTCCCAAGACCCCAAGCCTCCTGCCCCAGGCTCCCTGTGCCCAGCTCAGCAAGTGCAGGATAGACCAGCTGGCGGCTGGCCTGCTCTGTCACTGTCTTCCCAATGAGAGCTCGGGTTGAGTGGCAACAAGAGGGAGAGGGGATCCCATGCCTGCAACCTGTGTTTTCCACAAAGATCCATGCTCCCAGCCACCCAAGACAGGTGCCTCAGGTTTGCTGGGTCTCCTCCACCTGCCCAGCTGGCATCCAAGTCCTCTCTCCAGGGGTATTGAAGATGCTGGCACCCCTGGGCTCCAGGGTGCCAGGCTGGCTGGAGCAAAGGAGAGGAGGGCAGAGGTCTTCATGCTCCTTCAGGCAGCAAGACTCAGTGTTGGCGCCCAGGTTCTGACTTCCCCAGGAATTCCCTAGACGACACGAGGACAGCCATCAGCCAAACCCAGAGCCCACACCAGAGCCCTTTCCTCCTCCGTCCTCAAACAACTCATCCCAGGAGTCTGAAAAGGAGCCTGGAGGACCACCCCCGCTCAGAAAGCCCGAGTTAAATAAACAGGGCTCCAATGGAATCGGCCTGGTCAAATCCCAACCCTGTAGGAAGAAAGACCAGGTAATGGGCTACTCTTCTTTGTTCTAAACTCTAGAGCTGTACCCTGGGCTAAATTTCCTATAACCTATTCCTTTTACGCTGGAAAAATCACAACCCTAGAGCAAACCCATACTCTTTGAGTTCACAGTCCCCTCTCAGTAACCCAGGTCCCTGATGCAGGAAATGGCAAACCACTAAAGAAATGCAGCTCTGGGGGCACCTGGGTGGCTCAGTAGGTTAAGCCTCTGCCTTCGGCTCAGGTCATGATCTCAGGGTCCTGGGATCAAGCCCCGCATCAGGCTCTCTGCTCAGCGGGGAGCCTGCTTCCCTCTCTCTCTCTCTGTCTCTCTGTCTACTTGTGATCTCTGTCTGTCAAATAAATAAATAAAATCTTAAAAAAAAAAAAAAAAAAGAAAAGAAATGCAGCTTTGCTTCTGGAACTGCTGAGACAGCCACAGGAGAGCTGAAGTGTGATGGCATAAAACTACTGAGGGCCAATTCCAACACCTCCAGGCTCAGCAGCCCCAGGAAGGTGAACTTGCACCATCCCCACCTCGGCATCCTGCAGAAGGCCACACGGCCAGGAGGTGCTGGGTTGCCTGTGTCTGGGATGGGAGGCAAGGAGGCTGGGGAGCACGGGCCTGAGTGGTGGGATTGGTCCCCACACAAAAGCCTGGGCTCCTGAGGCGGGGCCAGGCCTCAGCCAGTCAAAACGACCCTGTGCCACCATCTCGCCCTTCATGCCTGCGCTTGGCACCTGGGCAAGGGATGGGCACCATGGCCCCAGCCACTCACTGTCCTGGCCCCAGACCATGGCTATCATGGTGGAGCCAGGAGCACAGCTGCCTTTCAAGAAGCAGCTGAGGACAAACAGGCTTTTGCAAGCTGGCCCAGAGTCTCCCATGCGCATATGCACAGGGGCAGGACCTGATGGGTGTGTAGGAAGAGACTGAGGCCTGACCCACCGCGGCTGGATGCTCCCGAGTGGGGTGTCTATGTAGCCTGCACAACCCACACCACAGGGAAGTCACTGCCCTGCCTGATCACGGAAGCGCTTCAGGAGGGAGGGGCCATGAACACTGAACCCTTCTCCGTGGAGATGGAAGGTTCTCGAGTCACGGCAACCCCCCGCCCCACTGAGGCAGCTTTCAGGGCTGGGCCTGCCACATACCTGGCCTGAGCCATCACACCCCAGGGGGAGAATGCCTCACCTCAGTATCCGTGGAAGCTCAGGGCTCTTGTAGATATACTTGTGCCTGTAGCCGAGGTCTGAATGGAAGGGGATAAACTGAACTTTGAAGTCTCGGAAGCTTCGGGATGGAGCGGCGATGTTGTAGAGCTAGGATGAGGGAGAGACAGGTCAGAACCCACAGATGGCAGCCCTGCCTAGTGGTCTCCCCAGGAGAGAAACCAGTCAGTGGCTGCTGCCTCCAAAGAGCAACCCAAGTCCTCCGCCAGCGACGGTGCTGTCCTGCTGCCTGTGTGGCCAGGGCGAGGGGCATGGGTGTGGACAGGAATCAGCTCCTTGGCCTGACACTCGAGACCCTTTGTCCTAATGCCCCTCTCCCAGATGGCCCCTCCGCAGGGGGTGGCAAGGCAGCTGAGCCTGCCTCACGGGAAGAGCTGCCTGGCATGCAGGCGTGTGGACGCCTAGGTGCCGGAGCAGCCCTGAGGGCTCATCCCGGGGCCTTGGCTGGGCTGTTTGCCTTGGAATTTGCTGTGTGCCTGGGTCAAGGCCGGTTGGTAGCCTGGCTCACAATCTGTCCTTCCTCAGCCCCTTCCTCCCTGAGATGGCCAGGCTCTACGGGTCTGAGCAGCCATCGCGGGACAGCCCCGTAGGCCCGGGCTCGCTGGAGGGAGGAGACTTGGCCGTGCTGGAACCCACTGGCCCCCAGGCCTCACTCCGTCAAGGTTGCCCCTGACCCTCACCATTGCCATGCCAGATGGTGCTAGCTGCCAAAACACTTCTACAAATTGAATGCTGCTGCCTGGCAGCAAAGGCAGAGCAAACTCAGCAAAAGCAAACATGGAGGCCCCCCAACAGCATGGTATTCCTGACATCGGGCCCATTCCAAAGGCAGGAGAACAGACAAGAGGTTCTGTATCAAGTCTGCCAACTGGGATCCCTGCATGGGGGCCGGAGATTCTCCTCCTCGAGGGTTCCTTCCCTCCAGCCTAGCCGAGTACCCAGCAGTTGAGTCTGTCAGGCTAGGCCCCCTGCGCATGGACTGGGAGCCATCTGCTTACTTCTCACGTTTCCTCTTGCTATCACCAAATGTACTGGTGAAGAAGTCCAAGCCCTCTAGCGTACCTTTGCTGATAAGACATCAACTGTTGGCCCCCACCCGACCCTGCTGCTGACCCCCTACCTTCTTCTTGTGGGGTGGGGGCACCTGGCAGTAGCAGAACCCCTGCGGATGCCCGGCCCAGCCTGAATGGGAGCCGGCTAGACACCCGCCCGCACCAGAGCTGGCACCGACTCTCACCTTTCTGCCAAGCTGGAAGGGCACGACCGGGTCGTCCTCGGCATGCAGGATGAGCAGGGAGCAGGAGATGTGCTTCACACTGTGGGGGGAGATGGAACTGGACCAAGGCCCCAGGGAGAAGGCTGGGGTCTCTGGGCCTATCCAGGTTTAGTGGGGGCTTCACCATGGTGCTCAACAGATAGAACTTGACTGGCTTTTCACTAGAGAACTAGTGTTTCCACCATCATCTATTCAGTCAAGTCTAGAGATCGATCCATTCATCTTATCCGGTCCCTGTGTATTTTCTAGAAATTTTAAATTATTATTTTTGCCACTAGACCTATTCTTTAAATGTTAAAAAATGATATTTATATTTGGCCCATGGAGGTGGGCCAAGAAACCTATAGCAAACGATGGTCACTAGAAATGTGTTGGTAAAAAAGCCTACATGCTCTAATCTGTCTTTATTGAAAATGACATTTCAGGTCACCCTGAAGGTTTACAAATAAATTAACATTTTCAAGAGGTTCAGGTGATCCAAACCCTCTAGCAAACCACAGAGGGGCTGTGGGCCTAGACAGGTCCTGGAGTACCCTGGCCACCCCTCACTGAGCAAGCCTGGCACCGGGCAGGACCTGGGCCAGAAGGCTTGTCGCCCCACCGATGCCCCGCCCATCCGGTCATCTGGGCTTCTGCTTGCAGTACACATACGTGCACACTTTCCCTGCATTCTGCTTCCAGGGAGGAGCATCTCTGCTGCAAGGGTCACACTTTGACAGTGACACTGCCCATCTTTTCAGGACTTCCATTCTAAGTAGTATGTCCTAACCCTGACCCACTCTAGAAAAGGCCTGGTTCACATGCTGTCACCATGCGCCCAAGTGGGGGCTTGTGATTTCCTGCGGGTGAAATACTGCCAGCTCCTCAATGGTCAGCCCGGAGCATGGCCAAGGCACCTTCGGGGGACCCAACACTCACTGTGGTGCTTGTTGTTGGAATCTACTTTTTTCAGATCATTCTTGAAGTTCCAAAACAATATTTATAAACAACCAGGTTTTTTGCTTATTTCTGTTCAAATTTTAGTTTGCTCTATTTGCAGAACCAAAACAAATAATTAAGGGGAAAAATATTCCATTTTTTCACATTTATTCCTGAGTGTAGATTTTTAAATGTTAACCTGATATTTGTTTTTTTAAGATTTATTTATTTTAGAGAGATCGAGTGAGTGAGGTGGGGAGGGGCACAAGCAGACTCCTTATGGAATCCAACATGGGACTTGATCCCACGGCCCTGAGAAGAAACCAAGAGTTGGCTGTTCAACTGACTGAGCCACCCAGGAGCCCCAGTAGAAATATATATTTTTTTAAGATTTTATTTATTTGTCAGAGAGAGAGAAAGCCAGAGCACAAGCAAGGGGAGCAGTAGGCAGAGGGAGAAGCAGACTCCCCGCTGAGCAGGGAACCCAATGAAGGGCTCGATCCTGGGATTCTGAGATCACAGCTTGAGCTGAAGGCAGACGCTTAACCAACTGAGCCACCCAGGCGTCCCTAGAAATATTTTTAATAGTGAACTCTATAACGTTTTTCTACAACCAAACAGAAATCAAACAGCTGAGGCAATGTCATTTTTTGAGTAACAGCTCCCCTTATTAGAACCTGTCAGGAATTCTGATTCTGATTTCAACTAACAAATAAAACAAACACAGGGACATGTTGTCTTCCTGTTGCTTTAATGCCACCATGGCCTTTTCAAATCCGTTTTCTCTCGGTTGCAGCTCCCAGCCTGACTTGCCCTTTACAAAGGTCTGATGGTTGGGGAAGAACCCCAGTATACAGAATTCCACCCTATTTGGTTAAGGGGGTTCTCAATGATTTTTTTTAAAATTGGAAAATGAGGTATTGTACCATAGTACTCACTTTTCATCATTTGCAAATTTAATTCCACTGCTTGTAATGGGGTCGAGGAAGAACCAGTCAAACCCAGGGAAGTATCGGTATATCTGAAGGTGACACAGAAACAATGTGCAGAAGCATCAGTTAAAACAGCCACGGCAAAGGCCGAGGTCAAGGGTTCAGACAGAGGGTGCTCAGTGCCCAAGGGTCTAATGTGCTTCCAAATGGACTGACCTGAGGCCCCACCAGAGCTGTGCTGGGGTGCCCCACTGCCCAGACCACAGACTCTGTGCTTAAGAGGCTCCTGAACTGGCCACGCATGGCTGCCCACAAAATGGGCTCCCACACCTCAGAGCAGCAGCTGGGCAGGACCGGCTCCAACAGACATGAGGGCCTCCACCCATGGGAAAACAGGGGTCCATGTGACTTGGGGGTAAAGCAACATCAAAGAAGTAAGACTACAGAGGACTCCTCCGGTCTGCAACAGAGCACCATGAGGTCAGGTGGGGGGCCGACACAGCTCCCCTGAACCCACAGGACAGAAAAGGACATAGAGGGGCCCCCTCTGGACTACGCTTATAAAAAGAGGGTCCAAGGCCTCAATCCTGGTAGGTAAGGAGGGCCTGAGTCACCCTGGGATCCCCACTAGGCTTCCCCCAGGGTGTCACCTGGAGACACGACTGGGAGAGCCTTACTGATGAGCACCGTCTATGCAGACAGGGAGCAGGGGCACCCACCAGCTCTGTGTTCGCAGAAGCAGCCAGGACAGCAGCCACAGGCCTGGGCTGAGCCCTGCAGGGCAATGATGACAGCTAGGCAAACCATGCCTCAGAGGCATGGCCTCCCGGGGATCCTACTATCCTTGGACAACCCAGCTGTGAACCCATCCTTCTGCCTGCTACAGAGTTATAAAATTCCCCGGCAACGCCCTGCACTAAACAAGGATTAATTTTTATTTTATACTTATTCTCTTAAGACTTACCTTGATAGTAATTATTTTAATAATAACAATAAGGCAACTTTTTTCTTTTTTCTTTTTTTAAAGAGAGAATGAGAGAGAGAGCATGAGAGGGGGAAGGGCCAGAGGGAGAAGCCGACTCCCTGCTGAGCAGGGAGCCCGATGTGGGACTCAATCCCAGGACTCCAGGATCATGACCCGAGCCGAAGGCAGTTGCTTAACCAACTGAGCCACCCAGGCGCCCAATAAGGCAACTTTTAATAAGATCTGTACTTGCCACTGAGAAGGGATGGCTCTTAGCTTCTTCACGTATATTAGTGAATGGAGATTCCAATATAAGGGCATCTGGAGGTGTCTCTAGAAAATAAAACAAACAGGGGGCTGTGAGGTGGGCAAGAAGCCCTCACGGATGTCCCGGGAGAGGCTGGTCCCCCAGACTGGACAGTGGGCCCCAGGCACCCCCCACCACCAGCCCTGCCCCCCTCCACAGGCACTCCTGCATGGATGGGAAATAAGAAGTGCCCACATGGGGGCCCACACAGGGCCCATTTGCTCCCCAGAACCACATCTACTGAAGCTGTGGGGAATGCAGGCTGGGGTCAGCTGAGGGTTTACCCAGACCGCGGTGCCTGTGTCCAGCTCGCAGGGCTCCGAGACGACACCAAGCACTGTCGCTGTGCTGTCATCCAACAGCATCCACCTCCCAAGAACCCACAGCAGAGCCTGGGGCACAGTGAGTGTGCACAAACACACGCTGCCCACCCCGCCTGAGCCCAGAGACAAGGAGGAGCCCCTGCCCAGCCCACCAAGATTCCCACCACCACACAGGCCCCTACCTCGCTCACAGAGGCGCCGCACCAGATTTGTCGCCACTCTGAGAAGGAAGGAAAAACAGTTCAGGTGAATGACGATGGAAGTTGTTTGAGATGAGACTGTTCTAGTCTTGTAAGTGACCAGAGGAACTGTGGGATCTGTGAAGCGACTGGTGGAGTTTGGGGCTGGGGGAGGGTACGGACAAAGATGCCCCAGGACCGTGATTGGCCCCTGCTGCCCCTGCCATGGGCCACCCCTTCTGACGAGGATGGCAATGACAGCCCCCGGACCTCTTGCCATCCTAGGGCCACACTGGGCGGGTCCCATGCAGACAGCCACAGCAGGATGGCCTGCTCCCCACTCGGCCCCAGCTCCTCTCTGCAAGCACTTCCCAGCCCGCAGGCCCACCCCAACTGCAGCAGGCTGTCCAAGGTGAGCATCAGGGGGAGGAAGGGGCCACGGCCACTGCACCCAAAGGAAAAGCTGCTGGAAAAGGGATGGTTGCTGAAGGCCTCATGACTCCGGGCACTAACAGCAGTGCCCCTTTTAGAAACATTGTTGACCTTCCATCAGCAGCAACGATTCAGGCAGCCCCAGATGGAATATTAAACTGTTTCCCTCATCCTGGCAGATGTAGGAAGGGAACCACCCACTGCTGCCTCCCCTATGGTCTCTGGTAAGCCAAGTACAGGCCAAGTGGTCACGCTGTTTACAAACGTCCCTGGTTTGCAAGTGGTCAAAGCCCCAGCCCTCAGGCTGCCAGCCAGCACCCACACTCCAGAGCCAGGTGATGCTAACTCAAGTGCCCTGTCTGGTCTGCAGGGCAGACACCTCCCTGAGGAACACCCTGGGAATGAGGCAAGTGTGCCTACCCTCCCTGCAGAGGGAAATGGCCACCCCACAGCTGCCTGTGTGCATCTCAAGTCCCTTTTTGGGTTGAGGAGTTCAAGTAGCTCAAACTCTTCATGGTGTCTTGTGGCACTTCTTCCCGTCCCCATCACGGGAATGAGGGACAAGGGTTGTTGGGACTCATGGTGTCACGGGATCCAGACGCCATCAGGGCAGTCTTGGAGAGACCTGGTGAAACGTTGCCCCATGAAGACCTGCTCCCCCATGACTCCACCAGGCTGTGAACTCACCCAGTGCCTAGGGAATGACCCCAAATATACACAGGGTTGTCTCCACTTCTTGCTTTGATCCAGTCAAAAACATGGAGTGCGTCATATGTCATGCCCCGCTCCGATGGCGTTCCTACCGAGTCACCCCAACCTGGCGGGGGAGAAGCGGCAAGAGGAGGAAGTCAAATCCCAGCCCCTGGAACTGCTTGAGGGGTGGACTCATCCCCTTCTTTCTCAACAGGCAGCCTAGGACTGGCTGGGGCAACAGAAGTCTCTGCCACCATCATTCACAGACCCACGTGAGGGGTGTGTGGACAAGCTGGATTCTACTTCTCCGGCTTCCTTGGCCAGCTACAACCCCTGAGCCCAAACAGCCATCCACACACCCTTACCTAAGCCTCGACGAACAACTGTGCAGACAGAGCCATCAGACCCACAGACTCCTGCGGGCAGATGGGGCAGCAACCTCCCCAACCCTTAGGGCTTGCTGGTAGCTGGCCCAAGGTGATGGGCCAGTGAGACCCCGGCCTGCCCAGAGCCCTGGCAGGAAAGGAGCATCCCCAGGGGGATCCTGAGCCCAGTCTGGCTTCCACGGCCGGCTGTAGCCCAGCTAAAGACAGATGTGGGGAGTCAGGCTGGGGTGGGGGCAGGATTCCAGGCTCAAGGCAATTCTGACCCAGAAAGAAAAAGGGCTCTCAGAATAGCAGAGGAAAGCTAATCATCTCAGTCTCCAGACCACATTTTCCCCCAGGGCCCTCCCCCCAGGATCTTGTAAAGGGCAAATGCCACTGTCATTTCTAGCAACTCAGCAGTGAGTCATCATCAAATGACCTGAAAGCACCACGAGGCTCAGAAAGAGCCTGCTTTGCTGCATAAGCAAAACCCACAACTAGTGGGCACAATAAGGCACCTCCCCTGGGCATCCCAGATGCCAGATTAGCGAAGGGGGCATGTGAGAGACAAGGCCACCCTGAGAGCTTCAAGGTGTGGACAGGAGAAAGGGACACAGAGAGACAGAGACTGGCAGATGTGGAGCTTAGAAATGCAGAGACTTGATGAGAACTGGAAAGACAAAGTGCTGTGAGGGCTTTCACTTCCTGGTAGAAGCACAAAGAGGTGAACAAGGAAGGAGGCTGCTCTATCACCCTGAAGTCTCTAGCACCCTGTAGGAACACAAAACCCTTTTTAGCACAGAGAAAAGGTAAGTGGGTGAACTACTTTCCAGATCCTTATCTGTAGTTTTTCCCAACCCAGAACTTGCGAACACTCTTCTGGGAAAGAACCATCCCTGAAGCAGGCAGGCCATTGCCACCCCAGAGGCCCGTGTGTTCATCCCTGGGGCCTGTGAGGACACTTGATTCCGTGGCCAGGCAAAGGGCGGGACTGAGGCAGTAGGAGGAAATGAGGCCGCTGATCAGCAGACTATGACATGGGCGATTACGGGCTTACCAGCGTGGGTGCAAAGTCACCACAATGGTCTGCTGGACAAGTGAGAGGGAAAGGCAAAAGTCAGGGTCAGAGATCAGACTCAAGAGGCCATGCACTGAGGCACAAGGACAGCTTCAAGCAGCTGGAAAGGCAAGGAACTAGATTCTCCCACAGAAGCTCCTGAAGGGCTGGCCCTGCCAACACCTGGATTTTAACCCAGCGGCCAAAGATTTTGGACTTTCGACCTCCAGAACTGCAAAGTAAGTCTGTGCTCTTTGAAGACATCAGGTGTGTGACAATTTGTTACGACGTCATACCCTCGGTCTGAGGGTATTGACACCATTACCCTCCCCCAGTAGGTCAAGCTAAGCAGGCTAAGTAAGCCAAGCAGCCCTCTGACCTCTCACCTCTGCTGCTGAGACTACAGGAGGCCCATGCTTCTCACAAGGCAGCTCCCAGTCAGTACAAAGTATTTTCCTGGCTCGTTAAGGTGCACCATTCTTAGCCTACAGTGACTGTGGGTTCTCCATCTCTTCGGCAGCAAAGCCTTCTGATTCACTCAAGAAAGAAAAAATACTGAGGGGCAAGAAGAATCTTCCTTCTCTCTTAACAGTTCTTTCTCCTGTTTTCAGAACTTTAACAAGAGGGGCGCCTGGGTGGCTCAGTGGGTTAAAGCCTCTGCCTTCGGCTCAGGTCATGGTCCCAGGGTCCTGGGATCAAGCCCCGCGTCGGGCTCTCTGCTCTGCAGGGAGCCTGCTTCCTCCCCTCTCTCTCTGCCTGCCTCTCTGCCTACTTGTGATCTCTCTCTGTCAAATAAACAAATAAAATCTTTAAAAAAAAAAAAAAAGAACTTTAACAAGACAAGCTCTTCTGCCCACAAAATGTGTCCAAAGACCAGCTCTGGGGAGTCGGAATCCAGTAAAGAAATGACAGTGTCTTCTACATTTAAAACGTTGCTGAGGGATGCCCCTCATCAGCAGGCAGGACACACATGGGAAGATGATGTGCCCTCACCCTGACCACCACACTCGCCATCACTGCAGGTCAGGGCACCATGAGCTACAAACGCTGTCTCGGCTCCCAAGGTGACTGACGCCTGCACAGCAGACCCGGACGGGAGCAGTGTGAGGGCCCAGACTCACACTTGCAAAAGAACTCACCTCTGTAGTCAAAGGTGACCACATGATAACCAAGGGAACTCAGCACCTGGAACGTAAAAAATAAATATCTGGGCACAAATCCACACATCTTGAATTGAGGGCAGCTTGCCTCTTACCAAAGCCAGCCCGATGTCAGTCTTTGGGCCCCGCACACAGTGGGAGCTTCATAAACACTGTGACCATGCTGCCCATTCCCCATTATAAAACCCACACGTCTCCTGCTGCTACAGGACACGCAGATGCCGCCGCCTCAGGGATATGATGGAAAGAAGGGCTCTCCCACGGCTCAGATCCCCGGGGCACAGGTAGTCCCCCAGCCAGGGCAAACACCCTGAAACCAGAGACCCAGAAGGAGGGGCTCTATGGTCAGAGACTGCATCTGGGATCCTTACTGCAACCTAGCACTTCTTAGACTTGAAGCTTTCGTTGGATTTTTCTATTATTAAAAACAAAATCCCGGGACGCCTGGGTGGCTCAGTTGGTTAAGCAGCTGCCTTCGGCTTAGGTCATGATCCCAGCGTCCTGGGATCGAGTCCCACATCGGGCTCCTTGCTCATCAGGGAGCCTGCTTCTCCCTCTGCCTCTGCCTGCCATTCTGTCTGCCTGTGCTCACTCTCTCTCCCTCTCTCTCTCTGACAAATAAATAAAATCTTTAAAAAAAACAAAAACAAAAACAAAATCCCTCTAGATGACATGATCTTCTGGACTAGATAATTTCTCACAGCCCACACCTGAGCTTTCCTGAAGTGTGCCCGGAGACATGTGGAAGTGGCCAGCCACCAACATGCCCCAAAATCCCCGGAGGGAGGTGTGCTCCTTTCTCCTTTGCCTGCCCCAGGGCAGCATCTGCCCCTGCAGCATCTGCTCCCACCAGGGCCATACCTGCTCTAGGTGCAAACCCTTGCTAAGAACAGAAACCTCAAGCAGGGGCCACAGCTCCACAGGAGCACCCCCTCCCCAACTTTATCCAATTCAGTCAAGGAACAAACCCTCCCATGGCCCACAGCAGTGCGTGGCCTTGGTGTGTGAGGGACAGAGCGGTGCCCACAAGATGCAGATGTTCCCTCGCATTTGCTCTCTGCCAGGTTAACCAATGCAGGTGTTGGTCCCTGTGAGGGGTAGATGAGAAAGAGGACCCTGGAGGCAACTGCACATTTCCAGCTCTGAGACTCAAGCTTCCAAAGAAGACAACCAGGCAGAAGTGAGGGTCTGAGTGCCTGGCTGGCAGACCCACCAGCCCCTCCACCAGGTCAGCCTGGAATCTGGTGATGGGTGAGACTTCAGTGTGGCAGAGTTCCTGACCCTGCAACTTGGCCAGAGTGTGGCTTCCTGGCCCTGGGTGCTCTCCATTCGTTTTAGAGGAGAAATGCAGCATTTAATGACAATTTCAAATGCCTTTAATATAACTGCCAATATCTGGCAGATGATGCCCGAAGTCCACTCATTCTGCTTTTGGAAGCTCTCCCTAGAGGCAGCATTAGAGGGAAGCATTCCACGGTAGAGGCTTCCAATGGAGGCAGCATTGGAAAGGCCAATGTTGATCATCTCTCTCACAAGTACTGGAGGGACTCCCTTGTGTACATGCCTACTGGAGAGAACAGGTGGGAGACAACCCTGGGTGATGCACTTTCCTTCATATACTGTGTGGATACCACTCTCCCTTCATACACACTACGTATGTGGCTCTGCCCTTCATATGCCCTGTGTACACAAATCTCCCCATCATACACCCTGTGAATACCACTCTGTGTGTCCTACACTGTGTGTACACTGCTCTGTCATCGCACCATGTATGGCGCTCTCCCTGTCACACACACCATGTACACCATGCTCCCTGTCATATACACCGTGTACACCATTCTCCCAACATACACTACTCTCCTGTCATCACACCGTGTACACCGCGCTCCTGTCATCACTGTGTACACCGCGCTCCTGGTCATACACACCGTGTACACCGCTCTCCCGACATCATACCATATACACCGCTCTCCTGTCATCACACCATGTACATGCTCTCCTGTCATCAAAACATGTTAGCACCTTTCCTGTTATCACTGTGTACACTGCTCTCCCGACATCACACTGTGTACCCTCCTCTCCTGTCTTCACACCATGTATGCCGCTCTCCCGAAATCACACTGTGTACACCACTCTCCCGTCATCACTATATACACCACTCTGCCCATCAAGCAGCCTATGGACACCACTCTGTCCATCATACATTGTGTGCCATCTTCACCTACCTTGTAAAGTTCCACCCGGTGGTCGCCTCCTCTAGAGAGTCAGGGAAAAGGAAACAGAATGGGTGTTAGCACATCTTCTCAAAAAGGCATGCCCCCAGGGTCAGTACTAGAGTGTATGGGTCCTTAGTGGCTTGGTCCCCAAATTCATACAGAGAGGGTCATTGGGGGACAGATGACCTCTTCTACAGGCATCAGAGCAGCTCCATGCTTGTTTCTGGCAATACCGTGACAAGCAAGGGATAGTCTTAGCACTTTGGAGATATTTCTTAATTATCATCTTACTTCTATTTTTGACTAACACATAGGAACAACACAAACTTCAGAAGATACAGAGGATAGACAGCAAGCCCCCCACTCCTGCCCAGCATCTAGCCCCTCCCTCAGCTCCCTGGTGACCAGCATGTGGCAGAAGTGAAGGCACTTCTTTCCTCGACATGCACACTCTACTGCCTCTCACTTTTCACTCAGTAATGCACAGCCAACTTCCAGGACTCTTTTAAGTGGTGGTTCACCTTCCTTATCTTGCAGTCATTGTGTCCCTCTCCTACCTGCTGTGGATCTAAGTTTTGCTGCCATGGCCAGCCCGTGTTGATGTCCTCCTGCACACATGTGCTCCATATGTTCCTACACACGAACTGCTGGATAGAAGGTGTTTGTGATCGTAATCTTGACAATTACTGCCCAGCCATCTTCAGAGGGGCCCTGACCATCTCCCAGCCCCACACCCACAGATTAGTGTGTTGGGGTCACTTCCTATTATAGATGCTAAACAGGCTTTTGTGCATCCAAAGTGTTTTGTGTGTCTATACTTCTTTGTCCGAGTACTATCTATCCCTCCTCACATTTTGTCCAGCTACTGGCTGGCTATTACTGTGGATAGACACCAAAGTGGGAACGGGGCGACCTCAGGAAGGAAAGCATGTTAGCAAGTGAGCTCACCCTCTCCAGACTTCTCAGCAGTTTTCTTTTGTTATAATGAGCACCCTGGCCACTTTGCTGTGTGTGTGTTTGTGGGTGGGAAGGGCAGGGAGTGTCCCTGAGAGAGACAGGGATGAGACAAAGAAGGAAAACCAATGCAGTGTGGCCACAGAAATACAAGGGAATGAGTTTCAGGACCAGGAAGAAATACTGAAAAATGTTTTCAGTTATCTTTGGAGAAGTACATGTCTTGATGTCTTGTCTAGATTGTTCAAATTCCCCACTTTGAGCAAAAAGAAGAGGGGTAAAAAAAAAAAAGAAGAAGAAGAAGAAGAAGAGTGCATAGCAGTAGCCAGAGACTGGCTCTTGGGGAGACAGAGCTGCTGTAATTCTGCCAGGCCAAGGGGGGGTCTCTTTGGGGACGGGGGAGAGGACACCAAGACTTTCCAAGTCACAGGGCTCCTTCAAACCTGAAGTTTAGGCAGACTTTGTCTTTTTTACCATGTGACTGGCATTGCTTAAATGAACCTTATTCCCAGTAAACTACAAAATTTTCTCATTTATAGGAAGATGCTAGCAGAGTGGTTATAACCACTTGCCCTTTGAAAAGCAGAAGAGAAACCCACTGTAGCTTGTCCCAGGCAGAGAAGAAAGCAAACTGCCAAGTGCACACATGATTCAGCAGCTGAGCACTCTGCAGCCTCACAAAGCACCCTCGCGGCCCACACTTCCTGGACTTCCTGTGCTGTCCACTATGCAGCCCTGGTGCCCCGACATCCCTGAGAGACACTGTCGGCTTGCCCCCCCCCAAAACCACAAGGCCTACGAATTCATCTCCTTGTTGGTTCTGCTTACAAAATGACATGCCCCCAGCCCGCCACTGCAGCTAGGCGCCAGGCTGACCCTCACCTGGGGCCTGGAGCAGCCCTGCCTCCTGCCAGCTCCTGCTGGATTCCCTCACATGCCCTAGTGAAGCTGCAACAACAGCGGCCTTCCTGGGGGTTTTCAGACAATGCTCTGTTCAGAAAATGTACCTCCTCCTTCACCCATGCTGCTCTCCCAGGGATTCCTTCTACCGCGTGGGTAGAAAAAGCCAATTCCCAGTGAACATGAACAACATGCCATTGAAGGCATGAGAGAGAGAGACGGAGCATGAGTGCATGAGCAGGGGGAGGAGCAGAAGAAAAGCAGACTACACGCAGAGCAGGGAGTCTGACACAGGGCTCAAGCCCAAGACCCTGAGATCATGACCTGAACTGAAGGCCGCTGCTTAACCGACTTAGCCACCCAGGCGCCCCTAAAGACACTCTCTTTTTTTTTTTTTAAATAAACATATAATGTATTATTAGACTCAGGGGTACAGGTCTGTAAATTGTCAGGGTTACACACTTCACTGCACTCACCATAGCACATACCCTCCCCAAGGTCCATAACCCAACCACCCTCTCCCGTCCCCACTTCCCTCAGCAACCCTCAGTTTGCTTTCTGAGATTAAGAGCCTCTTATGCTTTGTCTCCCTCCCGATCCCATCTTGTTTCACTTATTCTTTTCCTACCCCCCAAACCCTCCACATTGCATCTCCACTTCCTCATATCAGGGAGATCATATGATAGTTGTCCTTCTCAGATTGACTTATTTCACTAAGCATAATACCCTCTAGTTCCATCCACGTTGTCGCAAATGGCAGGATTTCATTTCTTTTGATGGCTGCATAGTATTCCATTGTATATATATACCACATCTTCTTTATCCATTCATCTGTTGATGGACATCTAGGTTCTTTCCACAGTTTGGCTATTGTGGACATTGCTGCTATAAACATACAGGTGCACGTGCCCCTTAGGATCACTATGTTTGTATCTTTAGGGTAAATACCCAGTAGTGCAATTGCTGGGTCATAGGGTAGCTCTATTTTCAACTTTTTGAGGAACCTCCCTGCTGTTTTCCAGAGTGGTTGCACCAGCTTGCATTCCCACCAACAGTGTAGGGAGGGTTCCCTAAAGACACTCTTGAAAATGATCTGGGATAAACTTGAGCAATGGCTTGCCACAGACAGGGCCTCAGCCACACCCAGCAGGATACACTGGCATTGCTGTCTTACTGCTGAGAGACAGAACTCACACTCATCACCCAACCCAACAGCATGGTGCAGCCTACATGGATGAGTTTATCTGTGTGCATTCCCCTGGGGTCCCTCTGGCCTCCTCGTGCTTTCAGCCATCCTTCCTTCGATGTCACCCCAACTCCTCCTCAGCACTCACTACTCCTTGCCAGGAAGTATGCTTCCCCCAACCCCCAGAAGGGCATGCCTGCCAGCGAGAAGGGGCCAGCCTGCCTGCGACCCTCAGCCTGAGCTGACACACAAGGCTGGTGAACAGGAGACAGCACTCCCCAGGGGCACTGCTGCCCTGAAGTGTCACAACGACCCCTCTGAGGAACAACCACTGCTTACTCACTGAGAAACCGGATTCCCTAAATCACTGGCCCTCACTTTGCCCTTCAGATTACTTCAGGAAGAAGGAAACACCGCACTCTGGCCAAGAATCTAGGTGATGTGATGCAGGCTCCTCCATCCCACCCAGGTGGGAGCCCCAGATAAGGGGTATCTGGACACAGACTCCTACATCTGTTTAACATGGGGAGTGGGGGTGGTTTCCCAAGGAACCTGCACCTGGGCCCACCTTCCATATAGCTCTGCTCTACTCTGAGCTTGTGGGAACACTGCTTCATGGGAGTTTCACCCTGACCCCTTTCCCCCAAATCCCATAAACTCTGCCATTTCCTGTGTTCTCAGGATGCCCCATGGCCCCACTGCCTGTACACTCCCTCACTGCAGTGGGTCAGCAGACCGGACTGGGCCAGCATTGAGGGGAGGACATGCTACACAGGCTCTTGTTCCTCACCTTGTGCCTGCATTCCCATGCAGGTACAGGATGATAGGGTGACTGGAAGCCAAGGCATCCTCGTACCACATCTGGTCCTTTCCCTGGGCGTCCTTCCACCAGACAGCGGGGACAGTGTGCCTGGAAACAGAAGCAGAGTGGAGTGGAATGATCGGATAAGGATGACTGTTGACAGAATGACACAGGATCAGAGTCACAACTGAGCGCAGAGCAGGCCAGGTGGTGGTGGGGGTTGGGGGGCGGTGGCAGGCAGAAGAAATAACTACAGAACTCTAAGCTACAGTGACGGCTTCTGACAGCCTTGGTAGGAGATTTCCTCACTCACACCTGGGCCCCTCTGGGCCACAAAAGGGGCAGCTGTGGTAGCAGGTAGGCAGGGGCTGGGGCTGGGGGTGGAGTTTCTCCCATGTGAACCGGACATTCTGTAAGGTAAGATCTAGTTTGGCTCGTTCACCAGGACCTCATCTGGGCCTCACACAGAATGACTGCTTAATAAATACTAGCTAGGTAAGATCATTTCCCCTCATACATACCCATATTATTAAGCTGTATACTATTTTTTATTTTTATCTAAATTCAATTAACATATATTATTAATTTCAGAGGTAGAGGTCAGTGATTGATCAATCTTATATAACACACGATGCTCATTACATCACGTGCCCTGCTTAATGTCTATCACCCAGTTACCCCATACCCCCACCCACCTCCCCTCCAGCAACCCTCAGTTTGTTTCCTATAATTGAGTCTCTTATGATTTGTCTCCCTCTCTGATTTTGTCTTTATTTTTTCCTCTCTTCCCTTATGATCCTCTGTTTTGCTTCTTAAATTCCACATATGAGTGAAATCATATGATAACTGTCTTTCTCTTATTGACTTATTCTGCTTAGCATTAATACCCTCCAGTTACATCTATGTCCATGTAAATAGTGAGTATTCATACTTTCTGATGGATGAGTAGTATTCCATTTTATATACTACATCTTCTTTATCCATTGATCTGTGACTGGACACCTGGGCTCTTCTCATAGTTTGTTTATTGTGGACATTGCTGCTACGAACATGGGGGGTGCTGATGCCCCTTCAAATGACCGTTTGTATCCTTTGGATAAATACCTAGTAGTACAATTACTGGGTCATAGGGTACCTCTTCTTTTAACTTTTTGAGGAACCTCCATACTGTTTTCCAGAGTGGCTGCACCAGCTTGCATTCCCACCAACAGTATTAAGAGGGTTCCCCTTTTTCCGCATCCTCATCAACATTTGTTGTTTCCAGTCTGGTTAATTTTAGCTATTCTGACTGGTATAAGGTGGTATCTCACTGTGGTTTTGAAGTGTATTTCCATGATGCCAAGTGATATGAAGCATTTCTTCATGTGTCTGTTGACCATTTGTATGTCTTCTTTGAAGAAATGTCTGTTCAAGTCTTCTGCCCATTTTTGACTGGATTATTTGTTTTTTGGGTGATGAGTTTGATAAGTTCTTTATATATCTTGGATACAGGCCCTTTATCTGATATGTCATTTGCAAAATCTTTTCCCATAATGTTGGTTGCCTTTTAGTTTTGTTCACTGTTTCCTTTGCTGTGCAGAACTTTTTATCTTGATGAAGTCCCAATAATTCATTTTTGCTTTTGTTTCCTTTTCTATCAGAGACATGTCTAGCAAGAAGTTGCTGTGGCTGAGGTCGAAGAGGTTTTCAATAGTCCTCTAGTCATTCAGGGTCTTTTCTGGTTCTATATAAATTTTAGGATTATTTGTTCCAGCTCTGTGAAAATGTCAATGGTATTTTGATAGGGATTGCACTGAATGTGTAGATTGCTCTGGGTAGCATAGACATTTCAACAATGTTTATTCTTCCAATCCATGAGCATGGAACGTTTTTCCATCTCTTTGCGTCTTCCTCAATTTCTTTCATAAGTGTTCTATAGTTTCTAGAGTATACATTATTGACCTCTTTGGTTAGGTTTATTCCAAGTTTTTGGTGCTATTGCAAACATGAATTGATTCCTTAACTTCTCTTTCTCTGTTTTATCATTAGTGTATACAAATGCACCTGATTTCAGTGCACTGATTTTATATCATGCCACTTTGCTGAATTGCTGTATGAGTTCTAGTAATTTTGGGGTGGAGTCTTTTGGATTTCCCACATGAAGTATCATGTCATCTATGAAGAGAGAGAGTGTGACTTCCTCTTTGCCAATTTGAATGTCTTTTATTTCTTTTCATTCTCTGACTGCCTAGGACTTCTAGTACTATGCTGAATAACAGTGGTGAGAGTGGGCATCTCTGTCATGTTCCTGACCTTAGGGGAAAAGCTCTCAGTTCTACTCCATTGATAATGATATTCACTGTGGGCTTTTAATAGATGGCTTTTATGATATTAAGGTATGTTCCCTCTATCTCTACACTATGGAAAGCTTTAATCAAGAAAGGATGCTGTATTTGTCAAATGCTTTTTCTGGATCAATTGACAGGATCAATAGTTCTTGCCTTTCTTATATTAACGTAGTCTGTCACACTGATTGATTTGGAGATGTTGAACCACCCTTGCAGTCTAGGAATAAATCCCACTTGGTCATGGTGAATAAAACTTTTAATGTACTGTTGGATCCTACTGGCTAGTATTTTGGTGAGAATTTTTGCATCCATGTGCATCAGGGACACTGGTCTGTAATTCTCATTTTTGGTGGAGTATTTGTCCAGTTTTGTGATCAGGGTAATGCTGGCCTCATAGAATGAGTTTGGAAGTTCTCCTTCCATTTATATTTTTTGAAACAGCTTCAGAAGAATAGGTATTAATTCTTTTTTAAATGTTTGGTAGAATTCCCCTGGGAGGCCATCTGGCCCTGGACTCTAGTTTTTTGGGAAATTTTTAATTACTGCTTCAATTTCCTTGCTGGTTATGGATCTGTTTGGTTTTTCTATTTCTTCCTGTTTCAGTTTTGGTAGTTTATATGTCTCTGGGAATGTACATATTTCTTCTGGATTGCCTAATTTGCTGGCATATAGTTGTCTCATAATATGTTCTTATAATTATGTGTATTTCTTCAGTGTTGGTTGTGATCTCTCCTCTTTCATTCATTTTATTAATTCGTGTGCTTTCTCTTTTCTTTTGGATAAGTCTGGCCACATGTTTATTGATTTTATTAATTCTTTCAAAAAACAAGTTCCCAGTTTTGTTGATCTGTTCTACTGTTCTTTTGGTTTCTATTTCATTGATTTCTGGTCTAATCTTTATCATTTCCCTTCTTCCTGATTTAGACTTTATTTGCTGGGTTCCCCCCCACCCCAGCTCCTCTAGGTGTACGGTCATGTTATATATTTGAGACCTTTCTTGTTTCTTGAGAAAGGTTTCTATGGCTATATACTTCCCTCTTAGGACCACCTTTGTCGCATCCCAAAGGTCTGGAACAGTCGTGTTTTCATTTTCATTAGTTTCCACGAATTCTTAAATTCTTCTTTAATTCCTGGATGACCCATTCGTTCTTTAGTAGGATGCTCTTTAGACTCCAGGTATTTGAGTTTTTTCCAAATTTCCTCTTGTGATTGAGTTCCAGGTTCAAAGCATTATGGTCCAAAGATATGCATGGAATAATCTCAATTTTCTGGTACTGGTTGAGACCTGATTTATGACCCAGTATGTGACCTTTTGTGGAGAATGTTCCATGTACACATGAGAAGAATGTGCATTCTTTTGCTTTAGGATGGAATGCTCTGAATATATCTGTAAAGTACAGTCCAGTGTGTCATTCAAAGCCCTTGTTTCCTTATTAATCTTCTGCTTAGATGATCTGTCTGTTGCAGTGAGTGGGGTGTTAAAGTCCCCTACTATTAGAGCACCTGGGTGCTTCAGTCATTTAAGCATCTGCCTTCAGTACACAGCATGATCTCAGGGTCTGGGATTAAGCCCCACATCAGGCTCTTTGCTCAGTAGGGAGCCTACTCCCCATCCCTGTGTTCTCTCTCTCTGTCAAATAAATAAATAAATTCTCTTAAAAAATAATAAAGTCCTTTACTATTATTATATTGTTATAAATGTGTTAGTTTAGTTTTATTGTTAATTGGTTTATATAATTGGCTGGTCCTGTGTTAGGATATAAATGTTTACAACTGTTAGATCTTCTCACTGTATAGAACCTTTAATTATGATATAGTGTCCTTCCTCATCTCTTATTACATCATTTGGCTTAAAATCTAATTTGTCTGACATAAAGATTGCCACCCTAGCTTTTTTTTGATGTTTATTAGCATGATAAATGGTTTTCCACCCCCTCACTTTCAACCTGCAGGTGCCTGTGGGCCTAAAATGAATCTCTTGCAAACAGCATATGGATGGGTTGCTTCTTTATCCAATCTGACACTCTGTTTCTTTTTGATTTGTTTCAATTAGCCCATTTATATTCAGAGAAATTACTGAAAATTATGAATTTAGTAACTTTTTACTACCTATAAAGTCACTGTTTCTGTATATTGTCTCTGTTTGGTACTTTTGGGCTCTCTGTTCACTTAAAGGATCCCTTTTAATATTTCTTGCTAGGCTGGCTTAGTGTCACAAATTCTTCTAGTTTCTGTTTGTTTATCCTGGAAGCTTTTTATCTCTCCTCTTTTGAATGACATCCTAGTTGGATAAAATAGTCTCAGCTCCATATTCTTCTCATTTAGCATGCTGAATATATCATGCCAGTCCTTTCTGGACTGCCAGGTCTCTGTGGATAGGTTTGCTGGAAGTCTAATGTTTCTACCCTTGTAGGTTATGGACTTACCCTGAGCTGCCTTCAGTATTCTGTCTCTGAGATTTGCAAGTTTCACTATTGTATGTCAGGGTGTTATCCTATTTTTATTGATTTTGAGGGGAGGTTCTCTGTGCCTCCTGGACTTGGATGCTTGTTTCCTTCCCCACATTAGGGAAGTTCTCTGCTATAATTTGCTCCAGTATACTTTCGGCCCCTCCCTTTCCTCTTCTTCTGGGATCCCGATTACTCTAAAATTGTTTCATTTTATGGTATCACTTATCTCTCAAATTCTCTTCTCATGGTCCAATAGTTGCTTATCTCTCTTTCTCAGCTTCTTTATTCTCCATCATTTTGTCTTCTATATCACTATTTCTCTCTACTGCTTCATTTATCCTGACAGAGCCTCCATTTTTTATTGCATCTCATTCATAACCTTTTGATTTTGACTTGATTAGATTTTAGTTCTTTTATTTCTCCAGAAAGGGATTTTCTAGTGTCTTCTATGCTTTTTTTCAACCCTAGCTAATATCTTTATAATTGTTATTCTGAACTCTAGTCCTGACACCTCACTTACATCCATACTGATTAGGACCCTGGCAGTCAGTATGGCCTCTTGTTCTTTTTTAGGTGAGTTTTTTGTCTTGTCATTCTCTCCAGAGAAGAACAGATGAACAAGAGAACAAAATACTAAAATGGCAACAACGACCCCCGAGAAATATACACTACGAATAAGAAAAGACCCAAAAATGGGGGGAAAAAAGAGAGAGAGAATATAATCAGACATGTGATCAGAAGAGACCAATAGAGTGGATCCTGTTTGTATTTTGGTCTGTTTGTTAGAAAATTAGATCCCAAAATTGTAAAGGAAGAAAAATTTATATATGTACAAAAATAAAATTAAATACAATGAAAGAACAGAACATAACTATAACAATGAAAATTAAAAAGACTTTAAAAAATTTTTAGAAAAAGCAAGAAAAAAAGAGAGAATACAGTTAGACAGTGAAGAGAACAGAGCCATACACTAGATTCTGGGTGTATTTTGGACTATTTGTTAGAAGAAACTGCATCCCAAAATTGTAAAGAAAGAGAAACTTATATATATACAAAAATAAAATATAACGAAAGGATAGACTGTAACTATAAAAATGAAAATTAAAAAAGATTTAAAAAGAAGAGTTGATAAAGTAAGAAAGAGGTTGAAAAGGAAAAAGAAGAAAAATAATACTGAAAGACTAAAGAATCAACCACGAATTCTATATACTATTTTCCAGTAGTGCTGGAGTTTTGAGGTTCTGTGTGATCGGTAAACTTGGGTCCTAGCCAGATGTTCTTGCTGGTCTTCTGGGGGAGGGGACTGTTGTGCAGATTCTCGGGTGTCTTTGCCCCTGGGCAGAATTGCACTGCCCTTGCCAGGGGCCAGGCTAAGTAATCTACTCCCGATTGCTCAGTGTGGCTTTTGTTCCCTGAAGAATTCCAATGCCGCTTTAGAGGACAAGAATGAAAATGGCAGCCTCTCAGTCTCTGGGCCACGGGGCCCACCTCCTCAGTCTGCCCTCAGGGAAAAGCAGTCAGTCATTCCTGTCTCTGGGGGTCTCGGTTCATACTATGTGCTCACCTACCCTGTGACCGAGTGTTTCTATCTCAGGCATGCAACCCCGTTTGGAGTCTCCAAACCCTGCAGACTCCTGTGGTGTGCACTGGCACTTCTCCTCCATGGGGTAGACAGAGGGTCTCTCCACGGCTCTGCCACTTTTTTGGCCCCTGCTTGGAGAACAGTCGCCCAACCATGCCACGGTTCATGGGATAGGTAACCCTGAGCTGAGAGCCCACTCCTGGGCTCACTGATGGCAACCAGCTTCCCCCCTCTGATGTCTGGGAACTCTGCCACACCCAGGCACCCCCAGTCTTCCTGTGACTCCAAGGATCCTGAGACCAAACTGTCCCACCTAGGATTCCTTCCCACTTTGCCATCTGATCCGAGCACCCGTCAGGCAGGTATGTCCCTTACCGAAGCAGCCTTCTTAAAGTTCCAATTTTGTGTTCTGCTGCTATATCACTCCAGTAGCTGGCTTACAGAGGCTCCCTCTGCCCACGGTTTACCTTCCCATATATCATCCTGGACTCACTTCTCCACACCCTTGCAGAAAGTGGTCACTTTTCTATTTGTAGAGTTGCAGCTATTCTTTTCTTAGATCTCTGGTTGAGTTCACAAGTGTTCAGGATGATTTGATAGTGGTCTAGCTGAAATCCTGGGACCAGACAAAACTAAGTCTTCTGCCATCTTGGACTATCCAGTCTAACCTGTAAACAAGTTAACTCACAACGTACTTAAGAGAGTTCATGGTGTCAGAGGTGATAATTAAGTGACACTGATCTTTACAAACTGGACTAGAAGCTGGACATCCTTCAGCACCATTTCTAGAGACTGCTCACAAGGCACCTGGGAGCAGACCCATCTCTGGAGGAGGAGATGCTACAAGCCAACATGCTGCATGGATGGATTGGTGTCAGCCCAGTTCATCCCACACCTGGCCAGGCAGGTGCACTCAGTCTCTCTGGCCAGAACTCTCCCTCAGGGAGATGCTCCAGTTAATGTGATGTCCGTCCACATCAAATACTGTTAATTGCTGGGGAGGGTCTGAATGAATAAGGTTTTTCTATAAAATATATTCACATTTATTAGCAAGAATGCTGGAAAATATTAAATAGCCATTTTTAAATTTCCTAACTCTTAAGTTTCAGTTTTATCACTTCCTTTTTTTTTAGAGGGTAGAGGAGGGAGGGGCAGAGAGAGAATCTTAAGCAGACTCCACACCCAGTGCAGAGCGTGACATAGGGCTCAATCTCACAAACCTGAGATCATGACCTGAGCTGAAATCAACAGCTGGATACTTACCAACTGAGCCACCCAGGTGCCCCTCAGCATTTCACTTCTAATGTTTCTTTGACCCATTCCAGAGAATCACATTTTGGGTGGTTCTGACCATAATGACCACTCTTTGAAATTATAAACCCATGGGACCAAAAGGCACATTTTAAAGGTCCTGGATGCTGATCCAGGAGCCAGCCTGCCCCAAACCTGGTACTCTTGACAGGGGAAGCTCCTAGCCAGAGGAGAGGGACTCTATTCCCAGGGCTCTCCTGCCCCCTGCCAGATGGAGAGATTATACCCACAGACAGGGTGCAAAGAACAAGGCCTACTGCTTCCTCAGGGCCCACAGTGTTCTCACAACAGTACAGGGAGCAGACGTGGGCAGGCCAGCCGCAGCCCAGCAGCACACAGCCTGGCTATCACTAACTTGAGTCTCGCCATTGCTGCCACTAAGGGCAATCTTCATGGGTGACGGCTGCGGGAGCTTTCAGACCAAGTATCAGTACCATAAACAACTCCTCCCACAATGACCATCCTAACCACTACCCAAAAAAGAGGTCCCTACTAACAACCCCCCCAGTGTCTCAAAGCACAGACCACACTAACTGGCAGGAGGGCCGACCAATTCCCTGCCAAACAGCTCTGAGCAAAACACATCAAGCTTCTGACTGAGGGCACAAGAACAAAGTGTCCCATGCACACATACTGGTCAGTAAATGTAAGATTAAATTAAACCAGAAATAACAAAAGCCTAGTCCCAGCATTAGCTCCTAGAACAATAATCTCCCTTCCCATTTTATGTTCTCTAGCCAGGACCATTAGATATGGCTGAACTTCCTCAGAGCCCACAGTGGGAAGCCACCCACAGCATTTTGTTTAGAAGCATCTCACATACACAGCAGTTTTCTGCAAGGGCAGAGAGACATTATGGCTGCTAAAAGAGAAACCCAGCTACACAAAGGGGCAATGATGCCAAGCTGCTTCTGAGGAAGAAAGAAAATGGCACAGAAAAGTTGGTCAATTTTAATTTAGTTTTCAGAAACACCCACTTGTTCATAGGGAAAAGGAGAAAAACATATTCTAAGGAGACAGAAAGAAGTCACAGAGTTTAATTAAGTCCAATTTAAATTTGTGGCTCAAAAAAGTCAATACAAGAAGAGAGCAAACACAACATCAGTGGCTAGAAGCACTGCTTATGAAAGAAATCCAGCTGTTTTCAATGTCTAAACATCCCTTTCTCTGAGAAGAAAGGGTGTACTCAAATTTGTGCTTTCATTTCTATGCTCATACTCTCTTTTTGCCCCCTGGAAATAAGGCTCCCTTCCACAAACAGCCTGGTTCATAAAGCCATCAGTGTTTGAAAACCTAAGAACAGATTTGATGCCATCTCATTGTGCTCCATTAGTATCAAATTTAGCCAACATCTCTGTTTTGGAAACGGAGAGTGGGAGGATAAAAACAAGTGATGATCGTGGACAAAACTGGCCATACTGCTGGGCACTCACCAGACTCCAATGGTCACGTCTTCCTCTGGCTCGAGGTAGTAATTACACGTGTGATTCAAACCTTGATCCTGTGGTTTTTTCAAGTCAATGAAATAAGGAACCCTCACTGTGGAGGAGAAAGAGATGGAAACCAGGATTAGTGGGGCAGATGGACACACACGTGTACACATGTGCACACAGCAGGGGCGAAGCTCTCAGGAATTGTCAAGTCTTTTCCAAACCAAGACTGCCAGGTACGCAGGGCCTTCCAGCCTCAGGTGCAGAGCTGGGTGAGTGAGCGCTGGAATGCCGTGGGCACATCTGCACATCCTCTAGCAAAGAAGAGGTCTGAGTACAGATGGACCCCCTGAGAAGACACAAGTGAGGGAAGAAAAGATCCCTGAGGGACCTGAGGGACATCCTGGCCATGAGAGAAGCTGGAGATGGGGAGGCCAGCCAGCTCTGGCTAAGCGACAGATGAAAGCTGGAACCTGGGTGGTTGGGGGGAGGAGGAACAGTGGGAAAGGTAACAGATGGGTGGTGTTCTGGAGCCAAGGCCACAGGACTCAGTAACCAAGTGAATGCAGGTGTGAGTCGGTTAGTGGGGTCCTGAAGTTTCTAGTGCTCTCACTTCATGCGCACAGGACAGCAAAAGATGAGGTTCAGGTGCAGGGAATCCACAGAGCCCATCTAGAGTTGAATGACACTGAATGGAACTGTGCAACAGGAGGCCTACATATAACAGGTCACCTGTCAACAGAGCAGAATTCTATAATGTGCCCACACTATGGAAAATCTAGGGACCATTAGCTGGAGACCAACAGAGACCCATTGACATGGAGGAATGTTCATGAACTATAGGTAGAAGAACAGAGAAGGAATGAGATCACCATATGTGCTGCATAGTCCCAAAAGTTACAGTGAAAACAAGCACATGTATTCAACATCATAACCCATATGGGACTCAGAAAGAAATAAAGGAAGACACGGGCCAGGCTGTTACCAAAGTGAGTGTGTGCACACACACGCATGCAGGCATGCATGGGCAGGTGGGGGATAGTTCCTTTATATACTGTTGCACTTCTACTGCTTGTGGTGAGCATAATGTTTAAAGCTATATTTAGTCAAAGTTAAAAAACTTTTTCTTTCTTTTTTTTTTTTTTGAGAGAGAGAGCGAGCAAGCATGCAGACAGGATGCAGGGGAGGGGAGAGGGAGAGAGAGAATCTTAAACAGGCTCCAAGCCCAGTGTGGAGCCCAGCACAGGGCTCATTCTCATGTCCCTGAGATCATGACTTGAACTGAAACCAAGAGTTGGATGCTCAAACGACTGAGCCACCCAGGTACCCCAAAGATCAAAAAACATAAAACAAAACAAAAACAAAACAAAACAAAAAAAACCCAAAAACCTGGGGCGCTTGAGTGGCTCAGTGGGTTAAGCCTCTGCCTTCAGCTCAGATCATGATCTCAGGATCCTGGGATCGAGCCCCACATCAGGCTCTGTGCTCATCAGGGAGCCTGCTTCCCACCCCCTCTCTCTGCCTGCCTCTCTGCCTATTTGTGATCTCTCTCTCTCTCTCTCTGTCACATAAATAAAAAAATAAAATCTTAAAAAAAAAAAAAAAACCCAAACCCTAAAAACCTTGAGGTGAGATTCACTCACTTTATCAAATGGCAACTCCCAAAGAGGGTAGTGACAAACAGCAGGATGGTCCTGGCCTCTAGCCAATCCCACCTTGTACGAGGAGTCACACACCACCGTACAGATTCCTTTGGTGAAGAGAGCAGTTTCATTACATAATCGTACATATCTACATGGCACAAAAGCCAAATGTGCTCATCTCCTCCTACTACTACTGTTCCTAAGACACGGCCTTTGATCTCCTCCCTCCAGGCCTTTGCACTTGCTGTCCTCTCCACCTGAGCACTCTCCCGGCACACACCTGCACATTCAGCTCTCACTCCTCCAATGCCCACTGCAGCTCCTCACTACACATTTGCTGAAGAAATGAAATACCCACTCATGCTCCTTCCCCAGAAATTCCCTGAGCATTTCAGACCATTCAAAGAGATAAATCCTCCCACGAGGGCTGCCATTTGTACCTTCAGCTTCTTAATCCACCGCTTCCCCAAGGGGGTGGGGGCTAAACATTTTAGACTTTATGACTTTCTCTTAAAAGAAAAAGGGCCATCAAAGGAAGTGACACCACACGTCCTGGTGCTCCCACCATGCCAGCCCCACATATGGGCACCCTCCTGCAGGGCCTCCTGTGATGTGCACCCCACCTCTTCCACTTCAGAGCTCTTGTTCAGTCACCAGCTCCCACGTTACAGACCTGGGACTTGCACCAGACAGCCTGACCCCACAGCCCGCACCCTTGACTAATCAGACAGGAAGGAAGAAAGGTGAATGGCTCTAATACTAACTGGCCCTTGTGTCCTTTTCAGGATACACTGAAAGATACACTGAAGTCCCAACCCCCAGCCCATCAGATGTGACCTTATTTGGAAATAGGGTGTGCACAAAGATAATCAAGCTAAAGTGAGGTCATACAGTGGACTTCAATCCAGTAGACCTGGTGTCCCTATCAAAGGGAAAACTGGGACACAGACACAGACAAGGGCAGAGGAAGACAATGGAAAGACACTGAGAGGAGACAGCTGCAGCTACGACAGAGGCAGAGGCCAGAACTGTGCAGCCACAGGCTGAGGGACACCACAGATCCCTGGCCAACACCAGAGGCCCGGAGAGGCCAGGAAGGACCATGCCCAGAGTCTCAGGGAGCGTAGCCCTGCTGGAGACCTTGATTTCAGGATTCCAGGCTCTAGAAGCTGGAGAGAATAAATTTTTGTTGTTTTAAGCCATCCAGTTTGTGGTATTTGTTACAGCTGTTCCCGGGGGCCAAGGCAGTCATGCTACGGAGGTCAGATTTTACTCTGACAATGGGGCTCAGAGAAGGCTCCTGACCAGAGAGAAGGCTGGCAAGGGCCTCTGTTTCCCATGCTGTTTCAGATGCGGATACCTAGTCCTGCAATCGCCATTCTGGGACAGTGTCCCATGCTGCGGGAACTGACGGCTGCAGCTTCATGTGCCCACTGACAACTGTGAAGTGAAATGACTTCGTCAACAAAACTCTAAAAACCTCAACTCCATGCCCGCCGTTCAACCCTACACCCAGATTCCCTTAATTCTGCTCCTGAGACTGGAATTATCCACCCCCAGCCCCCATGCCAAACAGAAAGGGGGTGTCATCAAGGGCTGAGGGCACTTGGCTTCCACTGGTTCAGCTCTCAGGCCTCAGCAGGTTCTGTGTTGGGAGAGAAGGTGGCCAAGCTACTTCCACATGGCCCCACAGCTCCAAGAGAACCCCCTACCTGTGAAAAGAGTTTGATGAGGATTAGCAGCTAATCCCAAAAGCTTCGAGGCCTGAGAAATCTAGAAACTGAGAAGCCAGATGCTCCTCCAGGAGGACCTCACTCCACAAAACTTGTCTTCCAGTCCACTCTTACTTCTGTTGTAGAAATAACCGTGAAAAAGAAGGCAGTGAATGTACTGAGTCCAGCAGATGCCACCCATGTGCCTCCCTTCCCCTGGGGCCCTTCCAGAGAGGGGGGTCCATGGTCAGTCCAAGGGGTCAGGCAGCTTGAGAGGAGTGGCCAGAGGAACCACTGGTAACTACCAGTCTGAGTAAGCAAAATGCCACAAAGAGACAGGGTCAAGGGGTACAGGAAGAGGGTGGCAGGACATGCCCAGGCCAGAACACACGTCACTCCTGCTGGCCTGGAACAGATGGGTACCAGGGCCTCCTGACTTCTGTTATCCCTTGGCCCCATGACCCTTGGGGCTGCAGCAAGGATACAGCACAGGCCCCACAGGCAGCCCACAGGGCACACAATAGGGGTAGGAGTGAGGCGTCCAGGACAGTGACCCAGCAGCTCACTGCTAGCTCTACAAGTTCGGCCTCACATACAGCTTAAGTGCACAACCGGAAACCCAATACACCAGCTGCTGTCCCCATAGGCCTGCAAGACACATCCAGCTGCTTCAATCCCATCTCTGGCTTCCTGTTCTTCCATTTTTCATTATTCACCCTCTGACCGCACTGTCATTTATTGGCAACCACATACCAACTGGCATGATTCAGAGAGGATCCTGCACAAACAGTGGTCAGTGAATAAATCAGTGAGTATACAACTGAATGGAAAACGACCAAGTCTATCATCCCTTCTTTAGTCCATCTGCAAAATACATAAAAGGATGAGAGGCTACAGCTACTTAGCCATAATGGACACTTCTAACTGCCTGAGGATTTTAAATGTTGGGCCACCTCTCATCCCAGTCACTGATGCACTGGAAGAGGTGTGGTGCCAATACGAGGGGGCGGGCAGAGGGCTCTGGGTTGTATCAGATTCTAACACTGTGATGGGGGCTGTAGGGGCTTCCATAAGAGAAAGGGGGTAAGAAAGGAAAACAGTCGGGAAATTCCTCAAAAAATTAAAAAGAAAAATACCGTTATGATCCAATAATTTCACTACCAGATATTTACCCAAAGAAAATGAAAACACCGGGGCAGCTGGGTGGCTCAGGCATTAAGTGTCTGCCTTCAGCTCAGGTCATGATCCTGGGATCCTGGGATCAAGCCTGTGTGGGGCTCCCTGCTCAGTGGGAAGCCTGCTTCTCCCTCTCCCATCCCCCCTGTTTGTGATCCCTCTCTCACTCTGTCTCTCTCTGTCAAATACATAAATAAAATAAAATATTTTAAAAAATTAAAATAGAAAGAAAATGAAAACACTAATTTGGAAGGATACATGCACACCCATATTTACTGCAGCATCATTTACAATAGCCAAGATACAGAAGAAACCCAAGGGTCCATGGATAGACAAATGGATAAGAACAATGTAGTACACACACACACACACACACACACACACACACACACACACTAGATTATTACAAAACCATAAAAAAGGACAATACCTTGCCATTTGTGAAAACATAGATGGACCTAGAGGGTATAATGCTAAATTTAAAAAGTCGGGCAGAGAAAGACAAATATGATTTCACTCATATGTGGAATCTAAAACAAATGAATAAACAAACAAAAAGCAGAATCAGACCTGATCTGTTTGTAAACACAGAGAACAAGCTGATGATTGCCAGAGGGGAGAGGCATGGGAGGATGGGCAAAATAGAGGAAGGGAAGTGGGAAGTACAGATGCCCAAATCTGGAATGAGTAAGTGACGGGGATGAAAGGTGAGGCATGAGGAATATAGTCAATGATATTGTAATCACATTTATAGTAACAGATGGTGGCTACACTCCTGGTGAGCATAGCCTAACCACGATGTTACACACCTGAAACTAATGTAATATTATGTGTCAGCTATTCAAAAAAATTTCAAACGAAAGAAAGAAAGATATCAAGGATTAAAAGGGACTGCTAAGAGGAAGGAGAAAGAGAACGCATAAGGATTAATATCCTGGAGAATGTTGAGGAGGACTGGCTGGCCTTCCGCTTTAAAAACAAATACATAATTCATATATCTAACCTATTTCCCAAAAAAGGCCGAAGGTAATGTGGAGAGAGGAGCAGCTCTGTGCAGGCCTCTGAACTGAAACATTCCTTCTCACCAAGAGACGGTTCTAGATCTGAGGGCAAAGAACTGCAGAGAAGATATCTATCTAGGTTTCATTACTCAGCCGTTAAAAATGGATGAGATCTTGCCATTTGGGACAACGTGGGTAGGCCTAAAGGGCATTATGTATGCTAAGTGAAATAAGTCAGACAGAGAAAGACAAATGCCATAAGATTTCACTTACATGTGGCATCTAAAAAACAAAACCAAGGTACAAGCAAACTGAAACAAACAAAAACCTGAAACAGACCCACAAATACAGAGAACAAATTGGTGGTTGCCAGAGGGGGAGGGGTCGGGGAGATGGGCAAAATAGGGGAAGGAGATGAAAAGGCACAAGCTTCCAGTTAAATACACACATCATGGAGATGAGAAGTACAGCACAGAGAACACAGTCAACACTACTGTAGTAAGTCAGTAGGCTGACAGATGGTGACTACACTTATTGTGATGAGTGCTGAGTAATGCAAACAACTGTCAAACCTCTCTGTTGTACCCCTAAAATTAATATCCTACAGTTTGCCAACTATACTTCAATTCAACAACAACAACAAAAGTCATCTCATCTTCAAGACCGTAAAATACTGGGTATCACCCAACATCACTGACACTGGAATCTCACTTTTAAACCCGAGTAGTGAAAAGTGCATATACTCATGTCTATGTGTAGAGACTCAGACAAAAGGGACCAGCAGGAAATAGACAGATAAGTAACAACATTAACAATTTCCTCAGAATGATTTTCATTTTCTTCTTCACTGCCATTCAGGGCTTTTCCATTAATCTTCTGTTTTTGGAAAGCTCATGTAGTTTTTGTTTATGAAAATATATTTAAAGTAGAATAATGCCTTAAATCACAGGGGCTATGCTTTTTCTATAGCTTATTTATCTGATGTATGAATGTGATTTCAGATAGATTTGGTGTGAACTTGAGAATGTATTTTTTATTATGTTCTGAGGCCCAAAAGACTGTTTAAACTTCCTTTAGAGTCCAAATGGAAATCTATGGGATCAAGATTCGCATTCTGAGGAGACAAAAATGGAGGTGCTATCCCAACACACTTGGCCCTCCAGCCCCATGGGCTGAACCTGCCCCCCGTTCCTCCACAGGGCAGGCAGCACAGATAGCTAACCAGACAATCTCCCTTAAAATGGCTGCAGGAGGCGATCCCACTGCCACACAGTGGACATGCGGAAAAAGGGTGAGCGACTGGCATCTCCTTGTGGGTGTGCAGGGGCCTGGATTAGGAGAACCCAAAGTTCTGCTCCTGTGCAACACCCTACCATTTCATGAGGAAATCAACTGAGCAACATTTGTGGGCTGTGTCTAAAGTGGCCCAAAGAACTGATCTGAAGAAAAGCAATTCAATTCAAATATTTGCTGGGACCCCACCATAGGGCAAAGGCACCTGCCCAAGGCACCTTAGAGGCCTACAGAGTTGGAAAAGCCATTCATGGTCCATCTTAAAGTCTGCCTTCAGGGTATCTACAACCTGGTAGCTTCATGTTTATATTTAAACCCAGACTCCCTTCTGTGCTAGACCAATGATGGACACTTAAGGACACTTAAAATCAGAAAATCAAAACTCCCTTGATTTTACTATGTTGTTAATTCCTTTTAAGTTTGTGCCTCTCACGCTGACAAAAACATAGGATAAATTCCTCAAAGTTCAGCTACGGTTCCATTAGGAAAATCAAATGCCTCTTGGTATACTACAAATATTTCACTTATTTTAAGACACCAAGGGAAAAAACTTACTTCAGATTTACAAAGTATTAAACATTGACCTTACTATTTCTCTTCCTCCTCCTACTGTTCCTCTTCAGAGCAGAAATGCCCTTTTTGGCCAGTGACTTCCTAGTTTCTGTGATTAAGTCCACTGTAGACTCCATAAACCTGAACTCGCATGCCCAGGCACCTTCAGAGCCTGGAGCACTATGTTACTACAGAAGAGGGTTCTGGAGTCTTGACACGCCTGGTCCCAGTACTACCCCCTCACCCTGCTTGTCCCAGGCCACAGACACATGTGAGCCATCTCAGCACCTCCTGTCTTTCCTCCCCCCATCTTCATGCTCTTCCTTCCTCCTCCCTCCTCTCTACCAGCAACCCTGCTGCCTCTTCCCATAGCATCAGCCCCAGCTTTCAAATCTCTCCTTCCAAATAGACAAGGTCCAAACCTACTCTTTGTAAACCAACAGCTAAAAATATGCACAGAGCCCACCTTGACTGGTTCAGATGCTGCCCATACCTGCACACCAAGCTGAAAGCCATCACTTATGGAGTACCTGCTGTGTGCCAAGCACCACGTTCTATCTTCAAACCCTAACACTCGAAGACCCAGCCTCTTCCCTCCTCACCTCATCTTGTAGGTATAAAATGATGCTCCTTAAGAGGATTATTCCCAACAGTTATGTATCTGGGAACCCTCTGCCTTCTACTTCCTAAGCTTGAGACTTCTGGATCTTTCTCCTCCCACTTGCACAAAAGTAAATACACAGCATGAAAAAAAAAAAAAAACACCATCTTTGGAACACACAAGGTCTAAATTAACTCAGGGAGACTACACCACCTAGAGAGCCAATATATAATTCCATAGAAACCAAAGCATGTTGGATTTAATTTTTTTTTTTTTTTTTTTTAAAGAAAAACGTCCTAATTATTTTTGTTTAAGGTGGTCACCTTTCAGCGGTCATCTTTTCCAAGGACAGGAGCCTCCTAGATGGCACAAGGGCAGAGGTTCTCCAACACAACACTGTTAACATCCTCACCCACTGCCACTAAAGGAGGACCCCCACCCAAGCAAGCATTACCTGTGCACACAACTGTTAGCCCCGGAGGGCAATACAATCCCTGCAGCAGCCTATAACTGGGAATGGACCAGGGAACTTCCTGGGTAAGAGAAATGCTCTATTTCTTGATCTGGGTGGTAGATATAAAAACACGTAAATCATCATGCAAACGAACTCTTACTAAATTCAAGGCAAAGTACTTTGGTACTTTGGTACTTACCAAAATTCAAGAAAATCAGTTTGGCCTGTATCCCAGGACATAGTTTGATGAGAAATGGAATGGCAACATACAACCCCAGAATACAGAGAAGTATCTTCCTCAGTCGGAACCATAGGCCCTTTCGCCTGCAAGAGAAGATCAATTAACAGGTCAAAGACTGGAGGTACAATTTTGCTCCCATTTATTAATAATAGCATTATCAAAATTGGTAACCAAAATCCACATGTCCCTTTCCCCATAATAATTGGGCCAGTAATAAGACTAGCCTCCCACTTGCTTCTGTTAAACTAATTATTTTAGACAGTCTTTCAATCTGAGCTTAGAACTCTATTGTGGGCACAGGGGGAGAGTACACAGCTTCTCCTGAAAGCTAGTGGACCGTCCTGATGATATCCTATGCTCGCCCTGCGATCAGAACACAGCATAGACCTCAATCAGCTCCTCAGCAAGTGCCAAACCTGAAATCAGAGAGTAACAGCAGCTTCATCTCGGGAAAGTGGCTGGCTCTAGGCCTCATGATCACTGTCCTGCAAGCCAGCTGCAGGCATGGGCTGCCCACGGGCTCCTTGTGGGAGGCTGAAACATCAAAAGAACCTACCCAACCAGGTCTGGGGAGTGAGCAGGGGGCTGACAATGAGACTAGCTGACACTGCCTGTCCCTGCATTCCAGCCCACATTCCATCTGGCACCACCGGAGGGAGGCCCCTTCTCCAGGCAATGCAGGCCAGGTCTCCAAACCCTCTTCTAAGCCCACCCAGGAAAAAGACTTTCTCATCCTATTCCTGATGCCTTTCCAAAAATATTCCTAGTCCAGAAGATTCTAAACTTCTTGGACTAAGGGTTTCTCTACAACTAGAAAACGGAAGACCCCAAAGAGCTTCTGTTAACATGGTTTATATTTACGACGATTTGTCATGTAAGAAATTAAAACAAAATTTAAAAATATTTACTCATGTATCTAATAATAACAAGAAAGCCATTAAATGTTAATATAATTAACAACTGTTAGTTAAAAAGTGACTATATTTTCCAATACAAAAACCTTAAGTGAGAAGAGAGGCATTAACATTTTTACAAATTTCTTTAAGCCAGACACCTTAACAGAACACAGATGGATTACCATCTTTGTGCTACCAAACTGTTGCGATACCACATGTCAGGTGGCATCTGGAAAACTCTGAGAGAATGAGGAGAAAAGGCAAATAATATCTTTGGGTTATTATGAAAATCATTTTGACCTTGTACACACTCTGAAAGGATCTTAGGGAGCACCCTTGGAAACCGCTGCTCTATGAACCAAGTCTAAACCTGAGTGAGGCTAAGTATTTCTGCACTATTTCCAAAATAACTATTTAAGGCAGTTTTAAATTATACCTGGAATGCTGACATATGCAGTAATATGGATGCATCCCCAAAGCATTCTGCTAAATAAGACAGACACAGAAGACTATGTACTGTATGATTCAGTTTATCTAAAATTCTAGAAGAGAAAACCATAGGGACAGACAAACAGAATAGTGGTGGCTGCGGACAGAGGGAGACTGCAAGGGGCACAGGAAACTTTTAGAGTAATCAAGACAATTTTACCTGGATTGTGGTTACACATTTGTATGTATAAATAACACCTCAACAAAGTTGATGACAAACATGGATATCTGACCGTGTAATTCATTCACTCCTTCACCTGGTTTACTCAATGCTAGCTAGCACTCTTTGGGCAGCAGGCACTAAGGGAAGCAAAGGAAGGCATCTGCATCCTTGCTGTGCTCCCAGCTCAGTAGGGCAGACACAGAGCTTTGAGGGAGGATGCATGCAGGGTGATCTGACCCAGTCTGGGCTGCCAGGGAAGAGGCCACTGGGACAAAACACTAAGTTAGGAATATAGGAGTTAACTAGATGATGTGGAAGAACAGTTTAAAATGGTATCTTAAATTCCATGCACTATCTGCCCTTCCAACGACGAAGGGTATACAACACTGTGGTTAAAGGTACTGGCTCTGAAGTCAGATGATTTAGTCCAACATCCAACCTACCACTTACTAAATGTGCAATCCTGGACAAGTCACTTAACTCTCTGAGCTGTGGTTTCTTCCCTGCACAGAGGGCATAAAAGTGGTACCTCCTTTGTGGGGCTCCTGGAAGGATTACACACAGTAATGCATATAGACTGCACACGAGTTCCGGGTCCAGAATATAACTAAGCTGTCATCACCATCTTCTTATTCTCATTAAGGGAAAGAGCAGGGACTGGGCATAGTAATGGGCCTGAAAAGGAAGGCTGGGCACAATGTGAGAGGTCCAAAGAGGCCAGGAAGAATTCGGAACTTCAATCTAAGAGAAAATGGAGAAGCCACAAGAAAGAAAATAGCCTGCAATCAAATGCACAACCATCAAACGCCAGATGGAAAGCTCATGCTTGGGTGTTCTGCTCTGGCCACATTGGCCATTCTTATGTCCCTTGCACAATCTAGTCACTCACCCTCCAAAACCTGCATAAATCTGGCCATTGTAAGGTATTCAAGCTGCTTGTAATTTTATGTCCTCAAAGCAAGGAAAGCATATGTCCACACAAAGACTTGATCAAAAACATTCCTGGGGGGCACCTGGGTGGTGCAGTCAGTGGGCATCTGACTCAGTTTTGGCTCAGGTCCCGACCTGAGGTCATGGGATTGAGCCCCACATCAGGCTCTGTGCTCAGCGTGGAGTCTGTTTGGGGTTCTCTCTTTCCCTCTCCCTGTGCCCCACCCCGCACTCATGCTCATGCTTTCAAATAAATAAATAAAAATTAAAAAACAAAGCCAAAAAAAACCCCACAAAAGTTTTATTCAAAATAGCCACTGAGATAATACAAACGTCTATCAACAGGTGAATGGATAAGTAAACCATAATTTGTCCTTAGAACAGACTACCACACAGCAAGAAAAAGGAGCCAGCTACGGATACATGCAACCATGTGGATGAAACTCCAAATAACTATGCTGAGTGAGAGGTGCCTGGCTGGCTCAGTAAAAAGAGCATATGACTCCTGGTCTTGGGGTCATGAGTTCGAGCCCCACATGGGAGTACATTAAAAAATAAAATTAAATTTAAAAAAGAAAAAACCTATGCTGAGTGGAAGAAGCCCAACAGGATGGCCAGGACAGCAACAGACTTCTGTTTTGATATATCATTTCACCTAAAAAGTATTCCTGTTCATTAGTAAAACCAGCATTGTCTTTTCTGTGCTATTTCAGGGTGGTGCTTCCTCCACAGACAGTGGCTTTTCATCTTCCTCATATTTCGAAATCGTGTATATAAGACAGAAACTGTCTGCTCCTTATAAAGTTAAAAGAATTTACAAAGAAGAAACAAGAGAGAAGGAGGATATAAACAACATCTGGAAAAATATATCATTTTCTTCATTTCTTCTTAAGTAATTATTACCTACTTCTTGTGACAATTTCGTTCATTTTCTCAGAAATTCCTTTAGTTGCAAACCTCACTTACTGACGGTAGTGTTGCTATTAATGTAGTTACTCCTTGCTAGAAGCATTCCTTGTTCTTGATTACTAGTAAGAATGAACATTTCCCACACAGCTGAGTAAAGTTTCACCTCCATTTAGCACTTGCTTGCAACCTGGAGTAATCAGAGGTCCACCTTTTTCCATACCACACATATCCACACAACTGTTGCCATAGGCTGCACAATGGCTCAGTGTGCCTGTCTTTAAAGATTACTCATATTATCAGTACCATAAACAGATAACCCGAATCACTTGCCAAGAAATAGAAAAGAACTGAAAAATAAATACAATGAATGGACTTAGGCTACAGCCTATCAGTTGCATTCTCGGGCATGTATTCCAGAGAAATGAACTTATTTTCATGCAGGAAGTTGTACAATAATGTCTACAGCAGCTCTATTCAGAATAGCTCCAACTCAGATGCCTTTCAAGAGGTGAGTGGATTGGGCGCCTGGGTGGCTCAATCGTTAAGCTTCTGCCTTTGGGTCAGGTCATGATCTCAGGGTCCTGGAATCAAGTCCTGCATCGCGCTCCCTGCTCAGTGGGGAGTCTGCTTCTCCCTCACCCACTCCCCCTACTTGCTTTCCCTCTCTTGCTATCTCTCTTGCTCTGTCAAATAAATAAATAAAATCTTAAAAAAAAAAAAGAAGTAAGTGGATAAACAAACTGTCCATACTGGCCATGGAATACTACTCAGCAATAAAAAAAATAATGAACTATTGATTGTGAAACAACTTGAATGAATCTGGGAATTATACTGAGTTTTAAAAGTCAATCAATCCCAAAAGGTCACATATTGTGTAAGTCCGTCTATAAAAATGTTCTTGAAGTGACAAAGTGATAGAGATGGAGACGAGATTAGTGGTTGCCCCAGGTTAGGGATGGGAGGGAGGGGATGGGTGTGGTGATAAAGGGAGAGCACGAAGGAGCCTGGCAGGGTGGTACAGGTGAGCACCTCCATGTGGTAGTGGTTCCACGATGCCATACGTGTAATGAGACTGCATAGCATTACACACACACACACACACACACACACACACACAAAATGAATGTATTTTTAACTCATGGAATCTGAATAAGCTCTATGGATTGCATCAATGTCAATCTCGTAGGGATGATTTTGTACTATAGTTGTGTTGGATGTTACCTCAAACTGAAGGAGGCTGGGGGATGGGAACACTGGACATTACTGTATATTTCTATGCAATTCCTATGAATCGATAATTATTTTGAGAAAAAAAGGTAAAAAACAAAACAAAACAAAAACAACATAATGGGAAAAAGTAAAAAAATCTAAAAAACAGAAAGTAAAATATAAGTAATCATTAATAAATCTGACCAATTTACTGGATTTCATGTTATCTCAATCTGTTCAAGTAAATATTAGCCTAATTTTCACAGAGCATACAGCGAGTTCTAAGGAGTTCAGTAACTTGCTCCTGGACAAGAAGCCTAGCATAGTGTGTGGGGGCTGGCCAAAGTGACCTCTGTACCCACATTCCTCCAGGCCTACTGAGCATCCTACCCACCTCCATCCTGTTCTTTCCTTCTGGAAAAGAAGCCCAAATCAGAGCACTCAACGTGCAGTCTGAGATTTTCTCTTAAATGATATTAGATCTTCA